CCACACCTCCACACTGCCGCAGACTGACCCTGCTCTTCATACCATCAGGTAAGAGCCCCCTACTGCCAAGGTAGCCGGGACCCCTGGACTCCTCCAGCCTCCCTGTACCTCTCCAATGCTGCCCCCGTCGTTGCCAGACAAATGTCCACAACCCTGGGTCAGCATTCTCACATCCCAGCTTGCCACTGCTGTACACCAGGGGGGGGCCACCATCTGGCGCCAACTCACGTGCAGGAGGATGGTTGCCTTCCCTGAGTGATGGAAGGGAACCTTGGCCAAGAATCGGATGGGGGTCCGATAGGGAAGCCCTGCATGCGCTGCAGCAGGTAATCCTGGAGTAGGTCCCAACGCATAGCAGGGTAGGCTCAGCCCTAAGGCAAACAAACATGAGCCCTAAAAACAACAAACATTACGATGTCCCTGTGTAGCCGGCGGAAACACAAAAAAACTGACTTGGGATGGAAGGAGGAGTCTATTTATTTAATGTGGTTGATGTGTTTCCTGTTGCAGGCAGGCGGAGCCTATATCTCGATGGCTGTCCTGGAAGATGACTGGGGAAAATAACAATGAACAATGTCCATATCCATATTGGTAGTACATACATACATATTTTTTTTTTTCTCATTTGATGGATATGTAATAATACATGTGATAACACTATAACAGGGCTCTGTGGTAATATGTATTTGGCTTTTGAAGTGGTTTTGGGTGTGGGAGTTTTTCTATTGTCATTTACCAATATCATTTATGTATGGTTTTCAATTTATGGTTTGGATTTTTATGATGTGTTCTCCCCACAGTCCAAAGATGTGTACATAGTATTTTTGTATGTAGTAGTTGGATTATGGATTGTCAGGGGTGCACAGGGAATAAATGAATATATATTGTACTAAGCGTTAGGTTTTGTTGGATCCAGTTGTGGTTTCCCTTGCGATAATAAAGTCCTGGGCCTACAGGGATCGGTGGGAATGATGCTGGATGGCGAACATTGCAGCTAGAGACTGATTTCTTAAATATTTTTGCCCGAGCTGAAGTTAGGCTGACTAATCACTCACAGGGCATGTTAGAACATGGATGTTGAAAGCCCCAGAACCCTCACACTGTGTCATTTAAATAGTGTAAACCTTGGGGACATGATTACCTCCACTTTACCCTGCGAAGGTTTGTACACAGCCTGAGGACACTCCTGGAGTATGCCACTGTAGAGCTTCTGAAAATGGCCAATGTTTGGTTTGACAATATTCATCACTTTGGCTTTATCTTCACCAATTATCATGCGGAAGTCACCTAAAAAATATCCCAAAGCACGTTAATTATAAAACTAAAATAAATGTTGATTAGCAAATAAAGAAAAGCAAACTAGCATTTTTTTTTTTTTGAGGTTCAAGGTAAACTTCATTCAAACACTTCAATAAGCAGTTAAATGTGCATATGTGATTTGTTTCACCTGCCAAAGGATTGGAAATTCTGTTAAGCTGGTCTTGTGATCCAGGAACCCTTGACAGGAAGTACTTTCTCTGTGGACTTCATTGCAGTAAACCATTATAGGGCCCATTTATACCATCGTGTTAGAGAAAGCATATGCATGCAAAAGTGCATAATGCATTTTTAATGCCCTGTGTTAAAGTTTGAACACAATGCAAGATGAACAAACTACTTATCATGAGCTGGACAATGTTTATTCCCGAAGTCAAAACATGCTGTAAACAAATACAGGCTCCTCTAACATGTTTCACCAAACAGCTTATTCATAGAGATGTGGGGAAATCACATTTAAATGGTCCATTTCTCCATATCACATATGTTACTAATGGATAGCCTCCTGTCCCTGTCTCGTTAACCCCTTCTCTGCCAATGCCTGTAAATGAGCACATCACTTCCTGTTCATTCATGATTGTGGACATAGTAACTCCTCAGTTTATGAATGAACACGAACACTCAGTATATAGGATTGCTGTTCATTTATAACAGGGGTTGCCGAAAAATTGATTGAGGACACAGGGATCTCAATCTCTTTTTCTAGTTTAAAAAGTAAATATCAGGGGTCTGTTTAGACCCCTAATATTTCCCCAAAGCCCCTAACATTAAAAGAGAACTACGGGGTGTATGTTTTTCCCCATAGTTCTCTTAAGGGTCACGGGAGGACATATACTAGCATCCTCCCGTGACCCAAAGCTCAGTATATCGTGAGCTACAGCTCGCGGTATACTGAGACTGCCGCAGTCGGGACAGATCCTGACATTACTGTCGAGATCCACCCAGCTGTGTGAGTGAAAGCTATCTCAGCGCTGGAGGATTGGAGCAGGGAGATGATCGAGAAGTGAGCGAGCGACGGTATGTGTTTGCTCACTTCCTGATCTATTGAGCCAAAGTGTGACAGTTTAATTGTCACACTTCGGCTTGAACTATGAGGATGAGTGATTTTCACTCACCTCATAGTTCTCCTTTAACCTCTTGCCGTCCGCCCGTTAAGAAAAAACGGACGGACGGCAGACTCTATAGCCGCCGATCGGTTGTACGGCGTGATTTTCGGATCACCCCCCCCTACGTTCGCTAGTGCCACCACTCCCCCCTCCTGACCCCTCACCTTTAATCCCGGGATCCGCTAGCCCATCTGCGGCCCGGGATTGGCTCGGGAGGGCGTCAGGAGGAGGAGGGAGGGAGATCAGCTCCTTGCTGTTCTCCCTCTGTAGTGTGAATGCAGAAGTGATGTGTATTACATCACTTCCGCATTCACCTGTCAGTCAGTCAGAGAGAAGAAGCTGATGAAGCAAATCTGTGCTTCATCAGCTTCTTATGGGGTCTCCAGGTGACATTAGGGGTCTAGAGACCCCTAATGTCTCCATAAAGAGGACCTGTCAGTGTACCTGTGCTATTATATAGGGGGATGGTATCTTTTTTTCCCCCCCAATGTTTAAGTTTCCCCCCCCTTCGTTTACGCACATATAAACGTAAATACGCGTCGCATGCGCCAGCGCGCGAAAATGACAATTGCGCTACACGTTACATATTGAAGCGAACGTCGCAGTGAGAGCAATAAGTCTAGGGCCATCAATCACTGATAGCACTAAACTGATGAGCGGTAAAAGCTTTTAATGCGTCGCCTGGGTAATGTAGTTTTTTTGAGGTTTTGCGCGCGTGCGCAATTTTAAGGCTTGACATGTATGGTGTTTCTTTACCCGACGTGACCTCGTCTTTTACATTTTACCAAAAAATTGGGTAATTATAAATGTTTTAGAATTTAATATAGGGGAAACTTTTTTTTTAAAAAACATTCTGTAATTTTTTTCCTTAATATATTAAAAAATAAAAACCCCAGTGGTGATTAAATACCACCAAAATAAAGCTCTATGTGTCCCCAAAAAAGGGTATAAAATTAATTTCAGTACAGCGCTGCACGACGGAATAAATGTCAGTGAAAGTACCGCAGCGCTGAATACTGAAAAATGGCCTGGATGGGAAGGGGGTTTAACACCCCGGATGTCAACTGGTTAAAGTAAAAAAATTAATACAAAATTGTAATCAAAAATAATTTTAAAAAGGTTGGAAAAAACAAACCAAAACGTAATTTTCAGTTTCGGCCTGACAAAATTTTTATTTTCAGTTTCAGTCTAATAATTTCATTTCGGTGCATTCCTATTGTTAATGCCAATGAAGCGTTTCGTAAAAACGTCCTCAGATAACAGGTGTGTAATACAGAATCTAAATAAATAACTCTGTAGGAGGATAAAAACAATCAGAAGGCTTTAGTCCATATTGTGGCTATGAAACCATGACTGTGAATATATATTTGAAACACACACACACACCTAAAAGGAAGGGCAAGGATGCCCAAAACTGTCTTAATTTTTTGTACAAACCTATGTATCAATAACAGATTCAATTGCATTTATGAAGGAGGGCTGCACTTTTGGGATTATATGGAAACTGGTAAAGTGGCAGACACCAAAAAAAAAAAAAAAAAAAAAAAAAATAGGATTACAGGGGATACATGCAGCTCACCAACCCTGGTGGTGTGCGTGTATAAATAATGATAAAACTAATACAAAAATGCTAAAAAATAATGAATAATAATGTAAAACTATGCAAAAAACAGTATCCTTTAAAGGTTATAGAGCGCTGATGACAAAAGACCCCACGGTCGGTAAAAGAACAGTATATGCCAAGAAATTCTGGTGACATACATACGTAAATGAAAAGCTGTTACAAGTTACGTATAAAACTAATCAACTGGGGAATAGTCATCAGTGGTATAAGCCCCTGGTAGGTGGATGCAAAACATAGAGAAGTGACCTATGACTTACGGTCACCTTGATAAAAAGCTTATGCAGAGTATTAGGAATGAAACGTTAAAAAGTATATGCAAGGTACTGAAGTGATGAGCTCTATAGAGAAATAAAATGTAGCAATGTACGCTGTTAAAGCGAGTGGAAAAAAATGCCCAACATACAGAGTCCTCTGGTGAGGAGGGAGTAGAGTGAAACATTATGAGGACTTACAGCTGAATGGCTATAACCAACTCTATTGATGGTTTCAACACAAACTTCTGGTAGTAGAGTGCTGTGTCCCTGTCAGTTGGTTTTACAATTGAAAAGCTGCTTAAAATAACATGTGTATGGCCATCCACAAAGCATAAATCTGACCAGACACACAATCTCTGTAAAATCTCCATTATATTTACCAACAACCATGTAACAAAAGGGCCTACCTATATTTTTAACCATCTCATTTTAATCCTAGCTGCACTTAGTGGCATTTACTTTTTATGCAATTACAAAACTAAAATATAAAAGCTCAGTTTGGCTTTAATGTCATTGTATACACATCACCAGGGTGATATCAATGATGGTGTATTTAGCTTTAGGTTACAGACGCCTTCTCCATCCCCTGATGAGGTCATTCTGACGAAACGTGTAGGACAAAGGCAGGGACGTCATTGTGTATGGATACATGCTGACCTGGGATGAATGGTGTGGATGGTAAAAATGCTATTTTAACAGTGTGATTCTAATAAAACAAAGCTGTCCTATGATAACTGCCTTTTACTTTAGAGCTTTGGTTCTCAACTGGTGGGTCTTGACCCAAAAGTGGGTTGCAACCCCGTGTCCAGTGGGTCCCCGTGTGCCTTACACTTTTCTAGGTGAGAGGCATCTCAGCCTCCCCATAGCCCAGCACTGTCAGTTCCTGCGCCAAGCAGCCATTCAAAATATGCTGCCCGGTGCCGAGTGTAGACTTGAGGTGGGGTGGGGCTATGTTCGTGTAGGAGCTCCATCCATTCATTCATACGTGCTCTGCTTCAGTTCCCTTGCATGTCCTGTAGAGGTTCCTGGACCAGCGTTGCATCACATTCTGGCTCCTAGCACGTCTATGATCCGCATGGGAGCTGTACAAGCAATGCACATATGGATGGAGCTCCATCACAGCACTGCAACCCACACTGGATCCAAGGCTGAAGATCCACTGCAGTTCTCGTAAGGTAGGGAGACTGGGTAGATCTTAATAGGGCTGCAACAACTAATCGACTAAGTCGATTATAATCGATGATTGTACATGCAAATGCACCTGCCTCACGTTCTGGTGTGGGAGGTGTGTTGCATTGGCATTCATTTGAATGGCATCCCAAATGCACTTCCCACACACAGTTTGATCGCCTGCACTGGAACACGTGGTACTGCAATGCCGTACGTTGCATTGCGACTTGGGTCGCGACTTAATGACCGAGGACAAATGTGGGTCCTGAGGTTACACAGGTTGAGAACCACTGCTTTAGATGATCCTCTAATGACGCCCCATGGAATCCCCCGTTGGGCACTACTGTCCTTTAAGGATCTTGTGTTTTCGCACAGGCAGAGCATCTGCCTATGTGCATAGTGAAGCGGTTGTTTCCTTTTCTATAGGATAAGAGAATGACAGGTCATTGGTCTCAGAGATTTTTCAACATGTTAGGAAATAAACATTGTCATGCCCCTGCTTGCTCACTGCTTGAAACAGTAACACTAAGCTGTCAAAGTAGCACAAAAGGAGGCGAGTTTGTGTATCACTTGTCAAAACACAAGTACTGAAGCCCCAAGTCCCTCGCATGCCTATGGGTGATCCTAATACTAAAATGTAGATGAAAAAAATCACTGGCGCCAAAAAAATCCTAATACTAAACCTTACCTGAATAAGAGAGACTAGCAATCTGCAGGTAGAGCTCCTCTTCAGAAAAACTTTCAGGTAACATAAGGAAAGCAGCAATGACGGCACTCTTCAGGTTGGCGTTCAGGGCTGAGCGCAGCTGCTCATTCTCCTTCTGCGCCAGGATCTTCACCTGCACAGAGGAACAAGACACAATGCTGTCAATCACACCTCGCGATTCACAAACTGATGCAATCTGTCAGTATTTCGGAGAAAAGAAAGGTCACATCTGACATTTATAAAACTGATTTAAAACCTGATTATAGGATTTAATATTAGCCCTTTACACCAGAGAGAAGTTCAGACATGTTTCTCACACACAGCTGTACAGTATTAGCTCTTGCATGCAAAGGTTTTAGTTTAAATTATGGTGCCCTGGGGCATATAAAACATGAGTGGGTGGAATAGATGGTCTATTAAACATTATTGTATTTCACAAAGGAGGAGGCTTGAACCCTGTAACCAAACTCAGTGTTTGCAGCAGATGAGTAAAAATGAAGATTAACAGAAGCATTTGCTGTCCTCTAGTGGAGTCGATGGGAATTCCTGATACAAGTGTACATTTGTATTACATGTCAGTATACTAAATTATTGTATATGATTAACATGAGAACAATTATATAGAAATAATATAGAAATCCAACAAAGCACAATCTCTATTATAGAGGTATGCTTCCATTTCAACAGAAATGCACCTCTTTTTATACAAGAGGATATTGATTAAAAATTAAAGTGATAGTAAAGGTATCCGAATGGTCTTAAGGGAGGAAAAGGTTGCTTGATTCTAGCTATGGTCTTCTGGTGGAAAAATTAGGATCATATCCAAATGTCAACACTCTATCAAGCCCCCCACTAGATTATGCACAGAGTCTGGACAGCACAAGGTAATCCCACCAACAGCAAGATTAAATGGTGCAGATCGGTGTAGGATTTTTGGGTAGAATGTGGCCTAGACCTCCTGTGCTTCTGCCTACATTCCTAGAAAGAAAATCTGTACACTTCATCATTCAAATACATTTAGAGGTCTTGTCAAATGCAGCTGCTTTGGAATGGGAAATGCGGCATTTGACAAGAAAGGGCGGTGTTTGACCTGCAATCTAAATCTACCTCAATAGGACACGCTGAGTCCAAAAAAAATGCAGCACAATGAAAAAGTAGGTGAAACGCAGCCTCTGAACCGCTGTGTGTGTGCTGCTTTACTACAGTAAATGGCAAATCGCTGAGCTGTGTTTGAAGTGTGTTTTTAACATAAGAAAACAACACATGTACTTATGGTTTGTGTCTGCAAATAGAAAAAGTCTCATGGTTCCTGCTCCAGCTTTCACCACCGCCATCTTACCGGTTTATGCAAACGACCAGCGATGTACAAAGACTTCCAGGAGAGCAAGTCTTCCATCAGAGTTTGAGTACTGACAATCCCATATTTGATGACCTGAGAAAAAAGTGTTGACAATCTAGAATTAATAAGACAGGAAGCTGTCACAAAGAAGTCCCATATATACAGTCGTAGTTCATTTTGAAATAATGCATTGCTACATCTTGAATACTAAAATAATAGATCTTATTAGCAGATCTCAAATTATTATCATTTAAGATACAAATCTGTTGATCAAAATACAACTAAAAGATAAAAGAGAAGGCTGCTGTAAAACACATATGAAAATACATAATTTGTATCTGCACAGCTCAGTGTCTGAGGACCTAAGCAGGTATGGCTAACCTCAGAGGTCCAAGAACACCATACTGAACTACTGGGTACAATGCACATTTGTATTTGACACACAGCACAATACAGCTCTGCTTTCTTCAAACACAAGGCTTATGCCTCATCTTTGGATAGTATAGGTTATAGTATATATAGTATATATAGTATAGTATAGATAGTCTAGGTTGCAATATTTTAGAAAAGGGGCTTTTGGTTCCTTTAGGATCATCTCACCATCCCAAGCCAATTGTACTATATTATGGATATCACAATTGTAAGTCTACAGCCGCTCTGTCCCATATCTGTTTATGATTTCTGCAATTGTAAGGATTAGGTTATGTATATTACATTTGTAGGTCTCCAACCTCTCTCTTCCTCACCTATTTGTGATTTCTAGAATTCTGAGGTTTATACTATGGATATTACATTTGTAAGTCTCCCACCTCTCTGTCCCTTACCTCTCTATATTATTTCCAGAATTGTGGGGACTAAGTTATGGATATTACATTTGTAATTCTCTGACCTCTCTGTCCCTCATCTCCTTTTATTATTTCAGGAATTATATGGACTATGCTATGAATATTACATTTCTAAGGCTCCAGCCTCTCTGTTCCTCACGTCTTTATTATTTCACTAATTATAGGGACTATGCTATATATTAGGGATACACCGATACCGGTTTTTCAGTATCAAGTACTGCTATTTATTTCTCGGTACTCGCCGATACCGAATACAGATACAAAAGGTCCCATTAAGGAATATGGGCGGCGTGTAATGACTCGCCGCCCGGCTTCTTGGTTAGCTCTCTCCATGGAGCCGGCTTCCTGGCAAATCAGGAAGCCAGGCGGCAGGTAATGACTCGCTGCCTGGCTTCCTGATTGGCCAGCTTCCGGATATGCTCCCTTATCACCAAGTGACGAGGGAGCATGGAGCTGGCTTCCCGGCCAACCAGGAAGCGAGTCATTACCTGCCCCCCAGCTTCCTGATTGGATGGGAAGCCAGCTCCAAGTGATGAGGGAGCATGGAGCTGGCTTCCCAGCCAATCAGGAAGAAGCCGGGCAGGGTTTAATGACTCGGGATAGGCATCGGGAGCATTTGGCGAATGTACGAGTATATATTACATTTGTAAGGTCTGTTACAGAATCCTCCTTCACTCCTTACCGGATATCCCCGTCAACATGGATGCTGGAAATGACTGCGGATGGCGTCGCTCGTAGCAGAACTTGTTAGAGATGTCAGCAGCACACCGAAGTAAAGTGAAGCAAACGTCTATTTATTGACACATATGGTAATTAGACAAGCCTGATGAAGGGGACCCTGTGCACCCCCGAAACGTTGCATCTGTGTAATGACAATATGTGTCAATAAATAGACATTTGTCTCACTTTACCTCAGTGTGCTGGTAACATCTCTAACAAGTTCTATTACATTTGTAAGTCTTCAGCCTCTCTGTTCCTCACCTCTTTATTATATCAGGATATGTAAGAACTATGTTATGAATATTACATTTGTAAGTCTCTGGCCTATCAGTTCCTCACCTCTTTTTTATTTCAGGATATGTAAAAACTATGTTATGAATATTACATTTGTAAGTCTCTGGCCTATCAGTTCCGCACCTCTTTATTATATCAGGATATGTAAAAACTGTTATGAATATTACATTTGTAAGTCTCTGGCCTATCAGTTCCGCACCTCTTTATTATATCAGGATATGTGAGAACTATGCTATAAATGTTACATTTGTGAGTAGTGGACCTCTCTGTTCCTCATCTTTGCGATTTTCAGAATTGTGGGGACTAGTCTCTTTGGGATTTCAACAACTATGAGTATCATGAGCATAACTTGGCGATTTGATAGATTTGCACTGAAACCTGAGTGTGTCCTCCTAAACTACTTGAGGAGTGTGCACTGCTTTTTCCTGATCAACTGGTGCCATACACATTCCAGGGTCACACTGTATTGTGTACAACAGCTAATTTAATAGAAACCAGAAAAGAAAGCAAGGTTTTTTTAAAATATTTTTTTTTCTGCAAACAGTGCACGCAGAATGAAAAGTAGACAGCTTTTCTGATAAAACACAGCTTTCTTCATTACATATAACTAGATTTCTGCTTTAGCTGGAAGCCTGATGTTTACAGCACAGACATGTTATAGTACAAACATAAACAGGGGATGGACATACCTTCCCATCACACGGAACCAGTGTATTATAATAGACTCCAGCTCCATACTTATTCTGGACATTAGTAATTTGTTTGGGTCCCAGATGTTTCAGGAATGAGTAGTGGCTACGGTTCTGCATTAGATTCATGGTATGCCATTTGACAGGGTCATCAACTGCAAACACAAAGTCCAGCATATTGTTCTGGAAGGCAAAAATGGAATTGGGTAAACAGAAAAGAATAACAAACATTTTCTACTGGTATACAGAAAGCAATATTTTGATCAACATAACACGAATATAATGATTTCAAAGACCAGGATTCATATGTAACCTCTAAACCACTTGTTGCTTTAAAAGTAAATGGATCCTCCTAGGTAGCATTTACTATATAGGCAATGGTCTTTATAACACAGGGATAAGCAACCCTGACATGCCATGAGCCATTGGAAGACATACTCCTATGAAGGGATTTGTAGATTCACCAGTCGGAGTGCCAAGGTTGTTAATACAGCTTGATATGACAACTGCTAGTTTAGATCGAGACCTTGTCATCAGGGAAAATGCATAAAAGGATTGGTCTAAAAACTCATACCTCCTCCGATCCAAACTCAGTTAGATTACGGACCAAGATTGTTACTCACGTAGTTCTCTGCCTCCTCTGTCATGTCAGCTGCCTTACCTCAACAGTGTGCATTTATATATGCAGTAGTGTAATTGGACTGTTTGGCACATCTCACAATCTCTATGTTTATATACAAATGTCCAAATTCTGTGCTGATTACTTCCACATGAAATGAATCCATTTGGTTTTAAAGATTTTTCATATATTTTAAAGTAGAACCTCAGCCATTAAAAAAAAAAAAAAATGTATAGAATGGAGAAATATTAAAACTTAAAAAAGGAGAACTATAGGGTCAGTGCTTTTCCCCATAGTTCTCGTAAGGGTAACGGGAGGACACAAACTAGCGTCCTCCCGCCACCCAAAGCTCAGTATACCGCGAGCTACAGCTTGCGGTATACTGAGAAGCCGCAGCCAGAACGGATCCCAACAATTCTGTCTGGATCCACCGAGCTGCGTGAGTGACAGCTGGCTCTGCCTATCCAGAGGCAGAGCCAGCTGTACCCGCCCCATCCCTTCCGCCAGTCAGCGCTGGAGGATCGGACAGGGGAGGGGGGAATCCCTGCAGGGAGCCATGAATGACAGTCACGGCTCTCTGCACGGATAGATCGAGAAGTGAGCGAGCGCCGGTATGTGTTCGCTCACTTCCCGATCCGACCTGTGACAGTTTCATTGTCACAGGTCGGCTCAGATTATGAGGCTGAGTGAAAATCACTTGCCTCATAATTCAAAATAACTGTTATGTTTGTATCACAGAGTCCCTGTTGGGTAGATTTGCCCTCACCATTTGTGCAGCCACCAGGAAAAGACATTTCCACAATGGGTACAAAGGCAAGATTGTCCTACCCTTCCCTAAAAAAACATAAGAGTTGTGGCTAAAATCCACCAAACATGCTGGATGCTTGGCCAGCTGGAAGCACTTTTGTAGGTCCGTATGCCATACGTCCTTGGCAGCGAAAGGGTTAAACCACTTTTCCTGGTGCATATATGGCAGCAAAACCTACAGTCAAATGTATGCTGCCATGTACAGGCGCTAGGAAAAAAAAAAAAAAACGGAAAGGTAAGTACTCAATTTGCCATTTTCCTGGTGCCTACATGGCAGCATACGTTTGACCATAGGTATGCTGCCATGTATAGCCACCAGGTAAGAAAATGAATGGAAATCTCCACAGTGGGGACAACAGCACGGGATATAGTACCCAACAGATCATCCTACCCCTTTCCCCTTTATGCCCCCCATAAAATAAGCGTCATGGCTGAAATCCACCCAACATACTGGTTGCTGGAGACTTAAATTACTTATCTCCTCGGGTCTCAGAAAAGTATGTGCTTGATGTCCCATGTCTGTACACCTGTCACAATTTTAAAAGGGGCTCCCACTTTTCCTCCTTGGTTTCTCATTCAGGGCCCACTCACACCAGAGAGCGCATGTTGTGCTCCGATATAACGCATTCCTGTTGATGTACGTTGGTAGCAGCGGTGCAATGTGTAGCTATAACACAACGTAACTATTGTTTCTTTTTAACTTCATTGAAACATCACAAGACGATATTTAAATTGACCTCTATGAACCGCAGTGCAATGTAACATGCTGTTGTGCACTGACATACAATGATGTGTGTTCAGCTGGCCTGCAACTTTTTTTATGAAATGCATAACAACGCACATGTATGGTGTGAATATGTGGCCGTGCATTGAGCCTGCATTGATCCTTGCTGTTCAATACTCCTGATGTGAATGAGCCCTTACTTTATATTATGGGGAATACAAAATGAAAGGATTAGTAGGGCTGCAACTAATGATTATTTTCATAATCGATTAGTTGGCTGATTATTTTTTTCAATTAATTGGATAAAATAAAATCCTTAACTTAAAGTAAAATACAGAAATGCAGTGTTACAAAGAAAGTTTACTTCAGAATAAAGCTGCATGCACAATTTTTTCCAATCACACTGCACTGGAACACACGGCATTGCGGTACAGTGTGTTCCAGTGCAGGCGATCACACTGTGGGTGGGAGACACGTTTGGGGTGCCATTGAAACGAATGGCACTGCAACGCACCTCCCGCAGCAGAATTTGTCAGGCAGGAACCGAAAATAACTTTTTTCCCCACCTTTTAACAATTGTATTGTAAGCACATGGCGCATGAATAGCTTCAGCCAGGGAATGATGCTGCCAGTGGCAAGATTCCATAGACAGCAGCTGAATGTAAATACACCAGGTAGTGGGCTGGTGCAATAGCCAGCCGGCTATTGGCCATTTCAAATTGCAATAGCAGGCTGGCTATTGCACCCACCCACTTCTTGCTGTGCCTTCCTCCCAGCATGGAGGCGAGAGCTAGGAAATCCACCAACTAATCAATAATGAGAATAGTTGATAACTATTCTCATTATCAATTATTATCGATTAGTGGGATGCAGCCCTTAAGATTAGGAGGGCCGGCTGAGAGGAGATCTTCCCAACAGATAATAAAAGGGTCAGCCAGGCTCCATCTAACAATGAAATACCATATTGGGTACACTAGCTTGTTAAAGAATCTCAGGTTCAGGTTATCCACAATATTTGCTTTCATTCACATCTTACTTTGGCATTGCTCTGGGAAGCGCCGGTCTGTTTGAACACCGCTGATCCATAGGCGAAGGCAAGGCTTATGTCCTGGGGAAAATAGGTGAGCATCTTCCGTAAATGGAAGCCGGTTCCTTGCATCGCTGGCAGTGCCATCATTCATCACAAAGTCTGCTACAACACACACATCACTGATCCTGCACAGCTCACTGTGCACCAACACACATATCAATGTGTATTCATCACACACTGCCTGTGTACACAGCACAACCTTACATAGCTAAATCCCTTCACTGAACGTGACACCGGTCACCTAGATCCCATCACTGAACATGACACCAGAGACTATCACCACACAGGGCACCGCGTATTCCGGTGACCTACACGCCTCAGTCACTTCCGGGTCCCGTGGAACGCATGACTTGATGGGTTACGTCTTACACTGTAGCTATTGGCTTCCGGTTGCTCTGGGTTTATTGATTTGGTCTGAGTCACAGCCGCTCGAGTTTGATTGGTTGAACTGAGTCACAGGTCACAGCTGCTCGGGTTCGATTGGTCAGATTGAGTCACAGCCGCCGCTCAGTTCGGAGCTCATTGAAAGTTTAGGTTGAAGTGTGCGGCTGGAATGTCCGCTCCTCTCCTATTAGTGTGTAATAAGGGGGGGCTGGTTTCAGCCTAGGGTGGGTCCAGTCGGTTAGAATTAGGTGTGGATGAATCTGTTGTGTCGGTCGCAGTGTGTGTTGGGGTGAAAGGACAAATCAGAGAGGGAGATAATTAGCAGCTGGTGAAAATCACATTGGAGGACTGGAAAAAGAGGGGGGCCCATTCACACCATAGCATTGTGTTAATGGCACGGTTCTGTCTGATTACCGCACAAGACTGCGCAATGCACTTAACACTCGATAGGCCGGGTTGACACCTGTTTTTGCACGTTTGTATGCACGCGTTTATTTGCACGTTCATGCGTATTGTACACATACATGAAGACATGCGTTTTGACTGGCAGCTTATGAAACATTGCAGGCAATGGACGTACGCACGTACACATGCACACAAAAATGTGCAACTTGCTTCTGCTGCGCATTTTTGGCTGTTTCCATTGAAGTCTATGCGGCAAAAACACACCGTTAACTGCCCAAAGAAGCTCCTGTACCTTTTTGGTCGTTTGATGTTTTCCTGCTGGCGTTTTGCTGCTCAGGTGTGAAAAGGGCCCATTGGAAATCATGGGATTTCTTGTGTTAGGCATTTAAAAGTGCTTTTCCAACTGCTCAAAAACTCCTAGGTGTGAACTGGGGCTCACAGTACGGAAGGTGTGTTGCATTGCCGTCCATTTGAATGGCACCCAAAGTGCATTGCCGACCACAATGAGCCCAGCCACGCCGCACCGAGCTCTACTGCAGTACCATGCGGAGTGACAAAAAAAAGTACTCTGTGCAATAGTTTTTTTTTTCTAGTTGCAACACATGGTATTGCGGTCAGAGGTGCGCTTGGGGTGCCATTCAAATGAATTGTATAAATCCATCCTAAATTATGGGGTGTGACAGTCGGGGGTTTGATTGATTGCAAAAAACATTTTGTGACCTCCCTGGATTATAATATTCTTGGGAAGTCAGAGTTGAGGACAAGAGGATGACAAGCTGGGGAAAGAGACATAGAGTTGACAAGTTTAGGAAATAAAATGGTGAACAGCCAGCTCCATGCTGATTGGCTGGAAAGCCGGCTTCTCAGCCAATCAGGGAGGCGGGTCATTACTCGCCGCTGGGTTCCTGATTGGCCGAGAAGCTGGCCAAAACAACATGGAGCCGGCTTCGCAACCAATCAGGAAGCCGGGCGGCATGTCATTACCCACTGCCCGGCTTCCTGATTGCAAAGACGAAACTGAAAAGAGAAAATTATTGGTTGCTATGGGCAATTGCTCCAGATTTTGTCAACTCCAGCTTTGATAAATCCCCCTCATTATATTTACACAGTTCTAATTCTAAGTCATGAACACCTATTCCAAGATGTGATGCTCAAATATATACATGAACATTATGCTGACACCTAGTGGCAGATTGAATGCTCTCCCTAGTGTAGTTATTTAGACTTTGTACATTTACAGGTTTACCCGTGCTGTGTGTTACTCTCTTTTATATTTAGACTTTATCACAGTGTAATACTACCTGATATCCAGCATAAATACCCCAACACAAAGAATTCTTATACCTGTGACCAGAGGCGTAGCTACAACCTTCAGGGCCCCGGTGCAAGAAACTATGAAGGGCCCCCCCAACCCCCATGGCACTGTGCAGTTAACAGGACGGCTGCCGAGGTCCCCAGGAAGTGCGGGACCTCAGGCAGCCGCTCCAGTTTAAAATTTTAGTGCCGGTGTTCTGTTGAGAATGCTGACCTAGTATCTGCGTTTGTGCACAGACGGGATTACTGAGGAAACCAACATTTATTTACAAAGTATTTGTTTGTAATTGTTTATTGTTAATAATATGCCGGCCATGGCAGCAAATGTTGGATGGCATAATATTAACGGTCACAATTAACAATTTATACTAAATACTTTGTAAATAGATGCCGGTTCCCTCAATAGTAGTGGTCTGTGCGCAAGCGCAGATGCTGAGGTCGGCAAATTTGACTACGTCGGCGTTCTCAACAGAACACACTTGCTTTGCAGCTCCAGAAACCACCGCTCCATCTCCAAACGATTCAGAGCAGCACTGCTCAACTCTGTCTTTATACTTATAGAACCCGTCTAAACTTGTGCACTTTAGGTGCATCAGACGCAATCTAGGGATCACCTTGGAAAGGTAAAACTTTGTTCCGGCATCTTTTGATACTTTAATTTCTGTAACAAAGAAGTTTAGAATTACTTCACTACAGGTTTACATTTATCAAAGACAAACTCCCTTTTTAAACGGCTAGTTGAGCTATAGTCAGAGGGAGGCTTGGCTGCTCGAAGCATGGCATATGTACTGTTCCTGTTGAATGAACCTGATAGCAACAATGATTTACTCAGTTCCAGTTTCTGAGCTGTCATTTGTGCTTGATCTGCTTCATTGGGCTGCAGAGGGGTCGAATAAACCCCTAATGTCTCCTTAAAGAGCACCTGTCACCACTAAAGTGCTATCACATAAGGGGCCTGTGCACCCCATATGCCATAGCAATAAAGTAAACAAAAAGTTTTAAAAAATAAAGTAAAATGAAATGTAAAAATACCCAAAAAATTTTTTTTAAAGCCCTCCCATGTCCAAGCACATACGTCCGTTGCACCTGTGCAAGAAAATGATGATTACGCCACACGATAGGTATTTACATGCATGCCGAAGGGAGAGTAATAATCCTTCACCTCGTTATTTATGGCTAACTCTAAATTACTGACCTGTGTGGGCTTTTAAAGCGTCACCTATGGACAATTTGGGGTACTGTAGTTTCCTCCTGTTTCACAGGCACATGCAGATTTGAAGCTTGATATTATTGGTGTCTATTTAGTTGGTGCAACCTCATCTTTTATATTTTACAAAACAATTTGGTAATATGTTGCATTTATGTGCACTAAAATTAACAAGTGTATTTTTTGACTGAAAGTTTGGGTTTTATAAACAGTTGTGCTAATGTCACGTGACATACAAAATTGCAACTGCCACCATTTTATTCTCTAAGGTTTCTTCTTTCAGGAAATCTCATTTTAAAGGGGGGGATTGTTTGTCCCAGAGGTGGTCTATTGGATTCAGGTCAGGCGAGCGTGGGGGCCATTCAATGGTATCAATTCCTTTATCCTCAAGGAACTGGCTGCATACTCTCACCACATGATGCCGGGCATTGTCGTGCACCAGGAGGAACCCAGGACCCACTGCACCAGCGTAGGGTCTGACAATGGGCCCAAGGATTTCATCCCGATACCCAATGGCAGTCAGAGTGCCATTGTCTAGCCTGTAGAGGTCTTTGCCTCTCACCATGGATATGCCTCCCCAGGCCATCACTGACCCACCACCAAACCGGTCATGCTGAACGATGTTACAGGCAGCATAACGTTCTCCACAGCTTCTCCAGGCCCTTTCACGTCTGTCACATGTGCTCAGGGTGAACCTGCTCTCATCTGTGAAAAGCACAGGGCACCAGTGGCGGACATGCCAATTCTGGTGTTCAATGGCAAATGCCAATCGACCTCCATGGTGACGGGCAGTGAGCACAGTGCCCACTAGAGGATGTCGTGCCCACAGGCCACCCTCATGAAGTATGGTTTTTAATTGTTTTGGCCAGACATTCACAGCAGTGGCCTGCAGGAGGTCATTTTGTAGGGCTCTGGCAGTGCTCATCCTGTTCCTCCTTGCACAAAAGAGCAGATACCGGTCCTGCTGATGGGTTAAGGACCTTCTATGGCCCTGTCCAGCTCTCCTAGAGTAACTGCCTGTGTCCTGGAATCTCCTCCATGCTTTTGAGACTGTGCTGGGAGACACAGCAAACCTTCTGCCAATGACAAGTATTGATGTGCCAACCTGGAGGAGTTGGCATGCCTGTGCAACCTCTATAGGGTCCAGGTATCGCCTCATGCTACCAGTAGTGACACTGACTCTAGCCAAATGCAAAACTCATGAAAAATAGTCAGAAAAGATGAGTAAGGAAAAAATGTCAGTGGCCTCAACCTGTAAAACCATTCCTGTTTTGGGTCGTCTCATTGTTGCCCATCTAGTGCACCTGTTGTTAATTTCATTAACACCAAAGCAGCTGAAACTGATTAACAACCCTCTCTGCTACTTAACTGACCTGATCAATATTCCAGGAGTTTCATTGACTTGACTCTGATTAAAAAGTGTTCCTTTAAAATAATTTATAAAAAAAAAAGTGTTCCTTTAATTTTTTTGAGCAGTGTTTTATCAGTAATATCGGTCAAGACCGATAGTGACAATTTAAAATTTGAATAACGGCCCACATTATTGGTAGATCCGATAATCAGTCGACCCCTAATTGGAACAAATAACCACCTGTAGATTTGTGAGTGCTGGGATTGCCTGCCCAGTCTGAAGGTGCCCATACACCTTACAACCATCGCACGACTTTCGTTGTGCGATGGTTGTAAGGTAATTAAAATCTCGTACGATCTGCCCATCTTGGACAGGCAGATCGTACTTGCGATCATCGATTATCTCAAGCCCTCCCTGCTAAGACGTCCCACCGCTCTCCTCCTGGGGTCCTTGCGGTGCAGAGGTGGTGAGCAGGGCCGCCGTCAGGGGGGTACGGCCAATATTCAAGTAAGGGGCCCGTGAACATTACATGAATATC